AAGCATCCTCTCTTCAGTTTGCTAGGGAGCATCATCCCACTTCTTCATAAAAGATACAATGGTGAGTATGAAAAGAACCACCTGTGATGAATTGTAATGCATTGTGAAACAGACTCGAGGTCTCAATGTCGATATAGAAGCATGCATAGAAACAAGATCATCATAATCAAGCGCAGACAAACTGCGTTAAACGTCCCGGTGAGGTAATTAATATTCAGTTTTACTATAATTTAGAAGCCACTTTCAGTGGGTACTCTATTCACAAGGGGTCCCCACAGTGGGTGGCTCCGCATTTTTGATTATGCAGACTTTTACACCCTCCGCCTTCCTGATGCAACCCCAAAAGATTCATTTCTCTTCCCAGGGCTCAAATGGAGATCTTCTTATTAAACAAAAATATGAAAATGACTTACCTACTCATTGTCAATGTGCATAATTTAAATAAGGTAAAGGGAATAGAAGTCTTGCTGACCTATGCAAACAATTACAATTTTTTTCATTTGCTTTAAATCCAGGTAAATTCACCTAATTTGAAAATGATATTTCATGTCCACACACAGATGAGGAGGTGTGACAGTAATGAGTATTTTCTTCTGTCCCATAGGTGGACTCGGAGTCTTTGTTGACTCATAAATCAGTTTGTAAACAAAGATGGAAAGAGCAGAGGTAATTAGTGGAAGCAGCCTTTATTGGATGGGTAATGCGGTCGCCATCCCCCGAGCTGCTGGCAGCTTTATTGTTTCTGCAGAGTGAATCCAAGCTGATTTCTTGCTGATAGGCTCATAATGGAAATTACAAATAACATCTGACTTGCCGGCCTGTTATCTGTGCTGGTGTTAGTGTGCACACTAAAGGCCTCGGCTTCCTTAGAGTTGCTATTCATTTGGTCAAATTTCATAAAAAGACAAATTAATAAAGACGAATGAGGCGAAGGGAAAAGTTGCTTTTTGCTTGTGCTGTCAGGTCTGCTGTGATGTGAACTACTGATACATAAAAACTGGTCAGTGAATTTTTAATCTTCAACAAAGCCAAGCAATGCCTGTGTATGTCTGTTAGCTAAAAATCCTTCTTAGATTTCAGTAATTCAGCTGAGGGGTAAAATGTGCAATGTAAATTACAACGTGTAGAATTTCACTGAATATTAATCCCTAAATGTGACCACAGATCAGCCGTGAGTCACAGAAATGCCACAGTGTGACATGTGGGTGCATGAAATATACTTCCACAAAGGGAGGCTCTGAGATGGGACATGGTTAAATTCCATTTACTGGATATGAGTAAAACGGGGCTCTTTTACAGTTCATGGGAAGATGACATGACAGCCCATGCGTTACACTTCATGTTTGTGCAGCGATTCGTCTGTGACAGAAGCTAATGAGTTAAATATAAAGATTGATCATCTGGCACATCTGAGTTGTAAAAGCAAACTTGCATGCGTTTTAGAGGCATTTTGCTATTTCACGCTCCATTATCGAGTTGTGGCGTAACCTCTTGATCACAAGCAGCATCTATGACGATCATCCAGTTATAAAGATTTAAATGAACAATTCAGACTTTAGACATGAGGTCACAATAAAGGTAAGAGAGAGAATCTCATCACATTTCATTGTCTTAAAGAAGCTCACATGACATGAAATTTTGTCACGATGAGACTCAGTGCTAGGGTTGAACACTTTTTGGTGAAGCTATCTGCTGCTAGCAGCAGGCTTGGTTATTTTTTTTCCTATTGTATTTAATGGCCTGACCTTTTCAGAATTCAGCCTGCTAAATAAATAGCAGGTAACATGTAATGGAAAATGTGAGCGTTTCTGAAAAGTTCTCGTTTGAGAACAATTTTAGAAAACTGTGTGGTTGTACTTCCTCTCCATTTAAAAGCCTGTGCTGTTGCCACTTGATTATTTCGAGGTTGTAAGGCATCCTTCTTCTGAGTGCCTTTGGTTAGGTCCATGTATAATAATCCTAAACTGGTGACATTAGATATTTTTGTACCATAAAGTTTTTTCCGTGGTTGTCGTCTTTGAAAAATGGTCGTAATCTCTGGATATTTGGATCACAGCAGCTGACTGGAAAACTTGGACATATCAACCAGCCCGAATCCATTTGACACTCTCTGTGGACACACGCATAGTGTTATTTTTCTAAGTATAGTAATGCATCTGAAGCATAGAGGTCTGTAGATTTGTGTGCAGAAACCTTTAAATTCATCTTGTTGTCAGTGACCTGGTTGCTCACCTGTTAATCACAGTTTCTGGGTCAGTAACACGAGGAGAGTCCAGTGGGAATTTTTAAGGTGTCAATAAATCCTAATTTGGACAAATGATTTCTCTTACCTGGGCAAACTCACAGTGTCCCAACTGAATCTGAAGCAGAAATGCTTTTAAAGTGGGTTAAGTCATAAATAATCAGGTTTTTCATGTTTGTGTTTTGTGCTCTCCTTCATTAACTTCTCTTTATTTTAAAGTCTCATCTGAAATGTGCATTGCAAACTAGGCTGGGCTATAAATGCTGTTTTATGGTTCATGCAACATCAAACTATTCTCGTTCCCAGGGGCTCAAAATCTTTAGTTTTACCAAAAATGAGGTATCTGAAATCTGCAGGTTCCATGATCTGGATCTCTCACTCCTAACTCTACTTTAAGATTAAAGTAGCACAGTGCCAACCAGCAGTCAAGAGAGTCAATGAGGTTAAAGCAGTTTCCCTGTAGGCTTTAATAGCACCAGAAATCGCTTTCCAACCACAGGCATTGCCACCTGGTGTCAGTTAAAAACAGTGCTGGTTTAAGGCACTTAGATATTGGATCTTTCTTTCTATCTGTAGTGTTCTTGGTGCTTGGATGGGTTTTCTGTGGAAGCTTACAGTTTGTCCTGCTTTTGAAAAAACTTGAGGGCTAACAGTTTTCTCTGGTCCTCCATAATTTCTGTGTTGCTGGTCTGAGGTAACAATCATATGGAATCACAGTTGGATTAGACCGATTTCAAGATATACAGGCTTATGGAAGTTTCATGCCATTTCCCAAGCTGTATTGGCAGCTTCCGTTCTAAAGTCTGAAAATGCAGTTGGTACCTTTTGAGGTTTATCCAGGAAGAATAGGGGCGCTCACGTTAGGTGTTTTGCTGTGATGATTCACAGTGACCTTTTGCCTCCAAGACAGCCTCCCTAACCACTCTGCCCTTTCCTTCTGGCTCTCTGTCTCTGTCACTCCCTCCCTCTCCTCCTCTTCTCCCTCCTGCCACCCACCTGCAGTGTATCGACCAGAAACAGCAGGATTCAGCCTT